TGTCAAGCTACCATCCTGCACTGTCGCGGTTCGACTCCCGCTGAGGGTGTTGATAAGACCGATGCGAGGTATAAACTGCAGTCCACCCTGGGTGATAACACCTTTTGGGAAAGCAGGCTATAGAAACATCAGCCCTTCTTATATCATTGTGGGAAAATTCAACTACCGGTCCTTCATCATCCTACATGAAATAGAGTGAAGACAACTCATGTCTGATTTACTGGTAGTCTTGAAAACCTACCTAATAACAAGAGAAGACTAGTTTAGCTGCTTTCTCTTTCTACGGGACTCAACACTATGTCCTTAATTGTATCAATTAAACGTAAGGTGTTCTTACTTTATTTCTTATTGGTACTCCTGACATTCAGTATTACCTAATCGGTTGATTTTAATGGCCGTCACGTTGTTACCGGAATCGTCGGAGATTGTCTCGGAAACAGCATCAAAGAGAATGATCCAGCAAAACCAATCGGCAGCTGGACAACAGGAATCCACCGTCGTCTTCTAATGGGCTCGACCCTCCAAACTCTTCACCACTCAACAAGTTGGCTCAATAATTTTTCGGACATAGGTAAAAAATAATTGATCTGCCAAAGCTGAAATGGAGTCATTATAAGTGACCGAAAAAAGGATTTAAAATGTTTTAATAATAGATCCCAAAAATGTTACACCTGCTTACACAATAAAATTCTATAAGAAATCTTTGTCCGTTAACCAAGTTTTGAAAATACGAATATGGCAGTTCGTGTGCAAATACTTGCATGAACTTCGTCGACGTGGCAGACATCTTTTGTAATCCTTTCACTAATTATGAAAAAAGTTTAACCATTTTTCTATTAAAATCTGTATTGACTAAACCAGGTCTGGATTTTGAATATCCTTAGGTTTAATTGACATCACATTTAATACAATTACATATTATCTCATTTAATATCTGAATATGGTTTTATATTATTTATCGATAAATTTTGGCTCTATACGCCTTCAGAATGAGTGCCTCATGTCTATATATATATACCCTTTATATTTAGTTTGTCTTTATTTCATATAAACTTACTAGTGGTAGCTTTCGTTTACTTTGCATTCATATATTAAGTGACGAGTTCATCATTTTCGTTGTGGCACAAATATAAAAAAATCTACGCCCCTTGTGTCAGAACTATCTTATTTTGCATTTGTAACTAGTTCTTCGCTCGATCAGAGCTCTTTTACAAATTGGCCATCTTCAGTGACTCCTTGGATGATTGACCATAATGGCCACTGCCTTCCATTTTTATCACAAGGTAAGATTTCTTGTTGTTTCTTTCATATGCTTAAACCTGACTAGATT